AGTTTTTAAAATTTTATCCTGGTTAATCAGAGATTGAGTCTTTGGACTTTTTCTGCCTTGGCTGGCCTTGAGCCTTTATCCTCAGATCTCTCAGCCTTTTTAGTCACTAGAATTATAAGTGTGAGCTACCAGCCATGTGTAGGATTTATTTTTCTGTGATGTATAGATCTCAGTTTTTTTTTTTTTTGTTATTCTCAGAATATTTATATAGTTGTTCTACACACACATGCCAGGGTGGCAGATTCTTTCTTCACTGATTTAAAGGCTACCTACATGGATGATTAAAATCACATATACTCCCAAAGCTATTTCTGACTTTCTGTTTTGTTCCTTTAATCTGTGTATCCTTGTTCCAATACAAAACTATTGTGTTGTATTTCTGTATTTAACAGCACAAGCCTACTATTATTATTTTTCCTTTCCAAAGTATTTCTTGGCTATTCTCTCTCATATACACCCCCATCAGAGTCAGCAAAGCCTTTCTGCAAAGAGCCAGGTACAAATATTTGAGGTTATTCAGGCTATAGTGGTTTACACTAGTGCTCAGTTCTGCCCTTGACTGAAAAGCAGCTGTAGACAGCGAGGCTGTGTTCTAATGAAATACTGGTTATAAAACAGGCTTGGGCTTGTTTTCTCTTTAGGACAACATGTCACCTCCCCTTTTCTAGATGAAAGTTTTTTTTTTTTTAATCAAGTTCGGTGAGACTTTGACTATCCTCAGAAACACATGAAAAGTACACAGTGTTACATATGTGTACAAACCTATTAGATACATGTTCTATGCATATATATTACATGTAAGAGAAGAATTTGGTTAGTAACATAGTCCTCATGAAATGGTTTGGGAGAAATGTTGTGTCTTTATAATGAAAGGGCTTCCCATCAGGCAGCATCAGCATTCTTTGCATCAGTCATCAACGTTTTATGGTTTCCTTCACGAGTCCTGCAAATTTCTGTTGAACTTTGATGATCACTGCAGTGCTTTCCTCTCATTTGCCATTGTGAGTGGGTGCTGTGATGCCTGTCTTATATTAACCCTGTCTACTCTGTGGTTTGCTATAGCAAGATCACAAGACTCGGAGTTATGCTGCCCATCTGAAAAGGTACAGGAGAGAGGCTGGAGGAATTCACCCATAGTTACCTGCCTTCTGGCTTTCCCTTCCTGCTGGAGGCCTCTCTGTGAATGTGATCCTGCCTCTAGGGTCCAGTGCAGCAACTTGTGATTCTGCATGGTCATTAAGAACCTTTTGTGTCCACTGCTAGCTTTCATTTTGAGTTTGTGGCTTTAGTTTTCTTCCAGTGTGTAGAAGGTCTGTGTTCTGTTTTATCAGGAGAGTGTGTTGAAATTCAGAGTAGCTCTTTGATGGTCATGATTGTTACCACAGGCTCCGATTTAAAAGGCTTACTTAAAGCCTGAGGAACAGTCCCTCTCACCCTCCTTCCTTCCTTCCTCTTCTCTTCCACTTTCTCTTCCTTCTTTTCCCTCCCTTCTTCCCTCCCCCCCTCAACTGTTTTGTAACTCTTCCTTGTAGTAAATCATCAGAAACAGCTCTCTCACCCTGCTTATTCAAAGAAAAGCAACTTAGCTTCAGGGAGAAGGTGAAGCTCTTGGAAAACCTACTTATGGAAGGGAAAATCTCAGATGATTCTTAAGAAAAGCTTAGCAGCCTGTTGCAGAAGAGTGGCTTTCGATTGGCTCTGTGTTTCCAAAAACAAAGAGAAATAAAGCCATTCCTGCAGCTGGCATATAGAAGTAGTTCCTTCATTGTGTATATATACCACATTTTCTTGATCCATTCATCTACTGAGGGACATCTGGTTCCATATCTTAGCTATGGTAAATAATGCTGCAATAAACATAGTTGTGCTGGTAGCTTTAGTATGGCCTTGTTTGTGATCATTTGGGTAAATGCCCAAAAGTGGGATTGCTGGGTTGTAGGGGAGCTCTATGTGAAGTCTTTTGAGGAACCTCCATACTACTTTCCAAAGTGGTTGAACAAGTTTACACTCCCACCAACAATGAAGTAAGGTTCCCTTCTGTCCACATCCCCTCCAGCATCTGTTTTTGTTAGAGTTCTTGATTTTTGCCATTCTAACTGGGGTGAGGTGGTATCTCAATGTTGTTTTGATTTGCATTTCTTTTATGGCTAGGGAGGTTGAGCATTTCTTCATGTGTTTATTGGCCATCCTTCTTTCTTCTTCAGAGAAGTTTCTCTTTAAGTCTTTAGCCCACTTATTTATTGGGCAGTTGTTTCTTTGAGGATTTGTTGTTGGGGGATTTAATTTTTTGAGTTCCAAGTATATTTTAAATATGAGACCCGGGAATTCTATGCCTCCATCAGAAAGAATGACATTGCCCCATTTGTTAGGAAATGGAAAGGCTTGGAAAAAATTATATTAAGTGAAGTAAGCCAAGCCCAAGGAAACATAGGTCCCATGGTTTCCCTTATTTGCAATATCTAGTATATGTATGAGTCAAGCAGAAAAGGGCAGATATTGTGATGTTAGGAAAATGAACCCTTAGATATGCATTTTAATGTTTTTTTCTTTCATGCATTTGTTTCTAACGCATTTATAAGATGATTTCTTTTTTGCTTTGTATGTCCCTCCCCCACAGTATAACCCCTGCTTTCACTATATTTGATGTCGGTATAATTTGTGGAGGAGAAGGGAAAAAACAGGTCGTTTAAGGATACAGGTGGACCTATTGCAACAATGAGAAGTACAAGTTGTCATGTCGAAAACGAACTTTACAACTTTGGTGGGGGGGGGGGAGGATTGGGTGGAGGGGCGGGGGGGGGGGGGGCTGGGAAGGGATGTGAAGGGTAAACAAAGGAGGAGGCTGCAATGCTTGATAAGAAATGTACTCATTATCTTGCCCATATAATTGTAACCCCTCTGTATAGTATGTTCACAAAAAATTAAAATTAAAAAAAAAAGAAATAGCTCCTTCACCACCAACACCACACCAACCCCTACCATCCCCACCCCAGTTAAGTCTGGAGCCTATAACTGACTATACTCCTGACTTACCAGCACCCCAGGCTGTCTTTGTAACTTCTTCCTCCCATTTTTCCCTAGGGCTTTCTTTCAAAATACATGGTTTCTTTTATATAAGAGGTCTCCAACCTCTTAGAGGCTAATGGGAAGCTAGAATTATAATTGTTTCCTATCTTAAAATTCCCCCAGTGAATGGCAAGGCTTGGCATTCCGCGAGGGAGATGCTTTGACTAGCACAGAGTCAATGGACTTGAGTTCTCCCTGGATGTAACTTGCATAGGCACCTCCTCTCTAAACTGTCGTGATGCTGAGAAGCTGCACAGAGGCAAAGCCAGAGAAGTCCAGTACAGAGCCCTGCTTGCAGAGTTGAAGGAGGGGTTACTGAGATTCTTTGTGCCAGACTGGCCAGGATCTGTTTGCTGGTAGAGCTTTACTTGCCCTGGTACTGTTTACTCCCATTTTCTTCAAGGGAGGCTACACATCTCTTCATGTTTCTCCAGGATGCACCTCTTCTTGCAGGTCTTTCTGTTTGTCTTTGTACTCTTTCTTAGCAGGATCAGTTCTGGCTCCTGCTAGTTAGTTTTTAACATCCTGTAGTCCTGTGACTCATACCTATGTTTCAGTTGATTCCATTTCCTCCCTGGAGAGTAAAGGTGCACCTGTAATGTCACTCACTAAGAGTTCCTGGCCACAGTTCTTTTACTGTGCAATTATACTTCTTCATCCATGAATTCAACCAACCATGACTCAAAATATCTGAAAAATCTTTTGTCTGTGCTGAACATGTGCAGGCTTTGTTTTTCTTGTAGTTATTACCTAAACAACATCGTATAACAGCTATTTAAACAGTCTTGCATCCTATTAGGTATTATAAGTAATCTCAGAATGACTTAAAAATGCATGGAGGATTTTTGGGGGTTCTATGCAAATATGGCATACTTTTATGTAAGAAACGAGCACTGGAGGATTTTGGTATCCTGGTGGGGGAGGGAAGACTCTTGGTACTGGGAGATGGTTGCGTGGGAAACTAGGCAGGTACCACATTGGAATAAATTACTGACACCTATAGGATGCTGGTTTGATCATGAATTGTAGTAGCTTTTTAGCAAGAAGTTTAAAACCTAATCTGGGCTGGTATATAATCCTAGAATCCTATAATCCTAAATACTAGGGAGGTAGAGATCTGAAGGGTTGTTCCAAACCAACTTGGACAAATGTTCATGAGACTTATCTAAAAAATTTTAAAAAATAAGTGTAGTACCCCCTACCCCTAAAAAATTGTAATGTAGATAAAGTTTTTTTTTTAAAATTTTTTCTTCATGAACAGGAGCCATTGACTTACCCATTTCTACCACTTTTTTTTTTTCTGGTCCTGGGGTTTCAACTCTGGGCCTGGGTGCTGTCCCTAAGCTTTTGTGCTCAAGGCTAGCACTATACCACTTGAGCCATGTCTCCACTTTTAGCTTTTTCTGTGATTAATTAGAGATAAGAGTCTCATGGACTTTCCTGCCTGTGCTGGCTTCAAACCGTGATCCTCAGATTTCAGCCTCCTGAGTAGCTAGGATTACAGGTGTGAGCCACTAGCACCTGGCCTTTCTACCATTTTTTTTTTTATCTAACCACTCAGGAAACACCAATTAATTTTGATAGGAGACCAAACAAATCATAATCAGGAAATAAGCCAGTTCCAGAAATTCCATATCTCTCCTATCTTTGGCCTCTTTTTGCCTTTTCTTCATTATTATAAATTATTCAAGCCATCTTTCTTTTTCACTAAATTGAATCATTGAGGAATCCATCCCCTAATATGATAATTAGAGTATAAAGTGTCTTAGTGCTCAAAGACCTCACAAATGCATTTAAATGTTGAGTCTAAATTGTTTCTCAATGATAAAGGAAAGCAGCTTCTGTGCGCGCATGTCCCACTCATAAGGTGAGACACATTGCCAGGTGTCCTGTGTCATTCTTTAATAACGGAATGTCACTTGGCTCTGTTCCAGAGTTCCCTAAAGAGAAGAAGCAGCCGGGAAATGTTCAAAGAGAAGAAAACCTTTAACCAGGTGAGCTGAGGCCTTCATTCAAAATGTTTTGTCTCGGAAAGAGGAAGCTTACACCTTGCTTTGAATTGTCTTGAAACAGTCAAAGAAACATTACTTGCCAAAACATCTGTATTTATACAAAACTTCCATAGGTGAACATTTTATTTCTGAAACTACAGCTTCTTCCGTTAATTTCTCTCATGCATTGGCAGCTTTTTAGGAAAGAGAAGAAACTTGCTTTGTGTGAAAATATAACTACATGTAGTCCCAGGAGCTGGCCATATTGGTAGAAATGCTTTGGCCTTCAGAGTCATTCATACAGTAAAGTAATTCAGCTACTAGACAGTTTGGTCATTCATTAGCCATTGTTTTGAGAGTGTATGTGTTTTAAATGTGTAGCTGAAGAATATGGAAAGAAAATTTAATTTCCAAATGGAAAGTAAATATTTTAGCCCTCCCTATGTACATGATAATGTGTTCTTCAAAGCTTTCTTAGCTCTTCTGAAAGTTGTTTTACTGGATTCCTTTCTTCTCTTTAAAAGTGCTGCTAGTATTAGGTTCTGGATAGAACAAAGGTTGCATTGGGCTATCAGCTCACCAAACACTTAAGAGCAAGTAGTAATTGGAGAAATACAATAAGTCAAAGTTTTGAGGAAGGCCCAAAGGCTTCAGTGTAGTACTACCTTGAAAATTCCTCTTTTCCTGATTCCCTCTGGTTCCTATGTTCTCCAAACTCGTGGAGGAGGGTCCAGTCTCCTGAGCAACAGGAATGCCAAGGATTAACTATTTTCTTTCACCCTTAGCCTTCTAAATCTCATTCTGAAGTCCATTTATCACAGGGAAATTAAAGGCATCTCATTGCTGGGCTCCTCCCTTTCCTGAGCTTAGAATTTGTTTCCATCTTTCTGGCTCTTGGCCAGCAAAAACCTTTTCTCTTCTTTACCTATGATGAGAGGAACAGCATTCACCCATGGGTAAAACAGGACAACCATAGCTGCTATTGCTCCCTGGGTGGGGATGTGTGGGGTTACCCTGCTCTGCCGGTGGGGTAATTGAGAAAAGAGTTTCTGTCCAGCAGAATGGTGGAATGGAGCACCTCGGGAACTGCAGGTCGGCCACCAAAACCCAAAGGAAGCTGGCGCCTCGGCGCAAGGTAGGCATGCGGGCAGTCAGCCGCTGGAGTGCTGGCTAGATGGCAGACTTGCAAGCCAGAGAATATATACTAAATTATGGCAGTATATTTCTGTTGCTTGTCAAGGCCTTTCCAGCTGGTGGTGACGGTGCTGGTCTCTGTGTGTTTGAACCTGTGCCATGCTTGCCATCTCTGCACTCAGAGGGAATAGTTTCATGTGGAAAGTTAGACTTGGTCTTGTGCTTTCATACTGCATTCTGGGAGCTATCCTCTGGGCTCTTGGAATCAGAGCTTGGTACTCTTAATCTTAGGGTGCAGTCTAGAGGCCTCCCCTACAGTCTTGGCTCCCAATAGTTGAGCCAAGGCTAGGATTATCCTTCTGATAATAATGGCTACCCCACTCAGTTTCCTCCCAGGATTAGGATATGCTCTCTCACACACAGGCTTCCCTGGGAAATGGGCCCCATGCCAGTGCAGTGGCCTCGGGGAAGGAATCTGACTCCTTCATTTACCACCCACTCCTTTGGCTCCAAGGTTGTCGTTCTATCTGACTCTGCTTCAGGCTTGGTGGCAGCTTTGTAGTGCATGAGCGTTGAGTTGAAATGACAGCATGCTTTCCCATATGTCAGGCTCCTACTGTTTCTATAGTTTCTTTCTTTAGGGAACAAGAAGACTTTGTGGACATTTTGTCATTCCTCAGGTAATCTGCAGATCGGATGGTCACTAGGGCCTGTCATGGAGTGCCACTTTAACTAACCTGGTTTAGGCTCCAGGAGATAGGGAGAAAATGGTGTTAGCCATAGTAGGCTTGTAGGGGGGGGGGGGGGGTTAGTGGATAGATGGAAAGAGTGAAAGGTTCAAGGTTTTCAGAAAGCCATGGTTATTGGAGGGCTCTGTGTGATTTTCTACTGGCATAAAGGAGTGTACATATATACTTAGAACTTCCATGATATTTTACTGTCCTTTTCAGAGGCCCTCCTTCCCCTCAGTTCTTTATTTTGCTTTGGGGGAAGGGAGAAGCTCTTAGAAGAGCTGTCTGAGAGTTTCAGATCCAGAGACTTTGTGAGCTGTGTAGACCCCTTTCACTTCTAACACATCAAGGCCTCTCATTGGTCACTGTCCATCCCTTTCTATGGCCTAGTTTGGAGTCTCAGGCTGGAGGTGGCCAGAGGATGGAGCCCAGTGTCCCCATTGCTGGACCAAGTTCTCTTCAGTGATATCTACTGCCCAGATATATCTGCTTCAGAGGTGGAAATGGGATCCTTTAGGCAATTTTGGTACAGGGCCAAATGCTGGCTATCTGGATAAGGCTGGGTTGAGGAGCCTCCTCTGTCTTCCTCATATTTAATTCCCCCAAGAATTCACTTAAGTTACCTACAATCTTTCTCCATTGGTTAGTCTTTTACCTTCCTTTAAAGTCCATTTTTTTATTTATTACACATCAGTCAAAAAGTGCTTTTAATTGTGCTACTTTAGAAAGTTCTAAGACACTGGGGTTGTTTAAAAATAATGGCAGTTTCTGCTACAGAGTTGGTACTCAATATTTGCTGAATGAATGAATAAAGAATGAGCAAGTATGCTTTCTGTTTGGTACTAGATAAACAGTATATTTTTTAAAGGCCTGTGTAGGCTCTACTTAAAAAAAAGTTATTACTGTTGTATCAATGATAACTCATTTTTCTCAGTGGTTATGAGTAGGACAATAACCCTTTTTATGTCTCTCTAACCAACACCTAACCACATTGCTAATATGATAAGTTCTTATAACTTAAAGGTTATTTATAGATTACTCCCCTGTCAAATGGGGAAAGGACTAAGCAGGGGAAGGAAACAGGACTACCAGCTACATTCATAATTTTAATTCAGACAAAGTAGCAAGTTAGACTTAGGGCACTAGGGTAAGATGATTTGCCAGTTACAACCCAGTTTGTGCATTTCTTTTGTTGTTGTTGTTGGTTGTAGGGCTTGAATGCTGTCCCTGAGCTCTTCAGCTCAAAGCTAGCACTCTACCTCTTGAGCCACAGTGCCACTTTTGGGTTTTCTGGTGGTTTATTGTAGATACGTAGATAAGAGTCTCATGGACTTTCTTGCCCAGGCTGGCTTTGAACTGTGATCCTCAGATCTCAGCCTCCTGAGTAGCTAGGATTACAGGCATGAGCCACCAGTGCTCAGCTTGTAGGTATTATTTTAATGACCTCATAATGACATTGTGGTTCAGGGAGGATCCTGCTTTGGGAGACAGTATCATTTCACCTAAGTCCTTGAATAGTGTTTGGGGACAAAGCTAGGGCTATGAATAGCATATTGGACCCCAAACCCAACAGGACTGGTTTTGTCCTCTTCCTCTCAGAGGACAGTGGGAATTCATTTCTCCTCCCATGGCTTTATGGGAGAGAAGAGGCCAAGATAGGGAGAAAAGGAAAGTTAGGTTAGTGTCTGTTTTATGGCTAATATGCTGCCAGAATATGGCAGAGTGAGGTGGGTTCTCTGAGCATGAAAGTTATGCTGACTCTACCAGATCTTTTGAACAAAAGTGATCCTTTGTCAGAGTTAATAGTTTCGCCCTCAGACAGTGGATTTGTTCTCAAGGGTGGTTAAGCAGCCTGGCCCACAGTGTGGTGAATCTCAAAGCTATAGTTAACACTTTATCCATGGGATACAGAAGCCTTTACTAGTATCATTGCCCCACTCCTCCCATTGCCCTTTGAAATTTCTGTTAACCAAAGATGAAATTGCTCATTGCTCCCATTCACTGAATATGAATAATAAAACAACTTTGTAAGGCCAGGATAGAATTCATATTGTTTCAAAGCATGGAGACTCTGATTAGAAAGGCAGAGTTGACTTTCTACTTGGTCTAGAAAGTGCCTCCAACCAGCCAATGCAGGCTATTTGGCATTGTAGGCCATTAGTGGCAGAACTTTGCTTTGGTACCTGGTTGCTCTACCACTTCAGTTACATCTCTAGTCCTGAAAAGCCTTTGGGAACTCTCCAGAAATCTCTGGTATTTCCCTTGGTATTCTGCTGAGAATTACTCAGGTTTGCAAACACTTGACTAAGTTAACTTCCTACTGTAGTATCATAGCAACTAAAGGGAACAGGGTGGGACCAAAGGTCAAGTGGCTCTTGCAGAACAAGCTTGGCCATAGCCTGGTTTTTTTGTTTTGTGGTGGCCAACATGTGTTAGTCATAAGCACTTGATTCTGACATAGCACCTCCACTTCCAAAGACCCCTTGTGCTCATCACCTCATTGTCCTGTCTTTATATCATTCTTCTGGTATTTTGAGAAAGGGGAGATGGCAAGGGAGAGGTCCATTGCCAACTGGTGGAAAGCTGGGCTCGGATTGGGAGGTACTTGATTCCTCATCCTGGTGGAACCTTGTAGATTACCAGCCACTTAGAATGAGAATGGGATCTTCACTGGGGAGACCCTGAACCCTGTACCAGGTTTCAATGACGGGTTCTGGTGCCTTTCAAAACTCGCTGGTCACATAGAGTCACCGTATTACTGATGGTTGTTGGTTTCATTTCATTTTCTCTTGCATTCATGACTTGTATGGTGATTTTCCTGTGCATGCTTTTTACCAAAACTAATCCTTCAGTTTCTTGTCTCCTGTAACAAAGCAAACAAACCATGGGCCTTCCCTAGGTCTCATCCATGAAGATTCTGGGCTCCCTGATGCTTTGTCCTGGCTCTCTTCTCCACGTAACTTGACAGCACCGGCAGAGAAATTGGTGTTTTGTGTTTATGTGTGTGTTTTGGGGGCGAGGTGCGAGGGGAATCATCAAAAAACACGAACATTTGGTATTTTCAAATAACCCTTCTCCCGGGCTGTTCTTTCCTGGCAGGAAGACAGTGCCGATTTGAAGTGCCAGCTGCAATTTGCCAAAGAGGAAGCCTCCCTGATGCGCAAAAAGATGGCCAAGCTGGGGAGGGAGAAGGACGAGTTGGAGCAGGAGCTCCAGAAGTACAAGTCACTGTATGGTGATGTGGATAGCCCCCTCCCCACAGGGGAAGCCGGGGGACCTCCCAGTACCAGGGAGGCAGAGCTAAAGCTACGGCTGAAGCTGGTAGAGGAGGAAGCCAACATCTTGGGCAGGAAGATTGTGGAGCTAGAGGTGGAGAACCGAGGCCTCAAAGCAGAGATGGAGGACATGCGGATTCAGCATGAGCGTGAAGGAACAGGCCGGGACCACGTGCCAAGCATTCCTACCTCACCCTTTGGGGACTCTCTGGAGTCCTCTGCGGAGCTCCGCCGACACTTGCAGTTTGTGGAAGAGGAGGCGGAGCTTCTGAGGAGGTCCATATCTGAGATCGAAGACCACAACCGGCAGTTGACCAATGAGCTGAGCAAGTTCAAGTTTGAACCTCGCCAGGAGCCAGGATGGCTTGGAGACAGCACAGGTAAGGGCCCTGGAACTGGGGTGCCACTGCAGGAGGAACTAAAGTCTGCTAGGCTGCAGATCAGTGAGCTGAGTGGGAAGGTCATGAAGCTCCAGTATGAGAACCGAGTGCTGTTGTCCAATGTCCAGCGCTGCGACCTGGCTGCCCACCTGGGGCTGCGTGCCCCAAGCCCTAGGGACAGTGATGCCGACAGTGACACAGGCAAGAAAGAGAGTGATGGGGAAGAAGGCCGCCTGCCCCAGCCCAAACGGGAAGGGCCAGTGGGTGGGGAAAGTGACTCGGAGGACATGTTTGAGAGAACATCAGGCTTTGGGAGTGGAAAGCCTTCAGAGGCAAGCGAGCAGTGTCCAGTAGAGCTTCTGAGAGCCCGAGAGGACACCGAATGCTTGGTGACCTTAAAGCAGGAGGCCCAGCGACTGGAGAGGACTGTGGAGCGCCTCATCATGGACACAGATGACTTCATCCATGACTCAGGGCTGCAGGGCAGCAGCCTGGCCTTGACTGGTATCCAGGGTGAGGGTGAAAGGGGCCAGAATGAACCCCACCTGCTGGGGACCATCAGTGTAAAGATGAAAGCTTTCAGGAAAGAGCTGCAGGCCTTCCTGGAACAGGTGACCCGGATTGGGGATGGGCTGTCACCTTTGTCCCACCTCACGGAGTCATCGAGCTTCCTCTCCACGGTGACCTCTGTGTCCCGGGACTCCCCCATCGGGAACCTAGGGAAGGAGCTGGGCCCAGACTTGCAGGTAAGGGGGCTTCTGGCTTTGCCTCCCTGCTCCGTCTTGCTCTTCCTCCTCCTGGCTGGCATTTTTGCTCTGGGGCTCGCATTGCTCACGGCTGCTTGGTTATGATTTCAGACCTGCATTTGTACTAAAGCCTCCAGCACCAACCAAATCCTTTCTCTTGGTTGGGTTGTTTTGTTTTTGTTTTTTTTTTTTTTAAGTTCTCTTTATTTCCTTGTTTCTTCCTCCGTTTCTTCTTTTGATTTTTAACTTCGCGGCTGCTGGTGGCTCAGAGGCCCCCCCTCATGACATGGCTAAACCTGGTGGGGGTCTAGAGACCAACACAGCCTGTCCCTGCTCCTTTCTCAAACAACCAGCCACCTCGATGAAGAAGTAATAAGGAGTTTAAGACAGATACCAACTCCTGCCACAGTCAGGATGGTTAGCAGACTCGCTCATAAGCATCCGAATCCCTGCATGGGTTTCTCCCCAGAGGGACACAGTGCAGTTCTGAGAGGCCTTAGGTGACCCAGGCCCACTCACTCCCACTGGAAGATAAGCCAGGCTTGGGGAGAGGCGCCCCCATTCTGAGAGAAGGTTGTTTTTGATGGAAATTCCCACTGCCGGCTCACCCCTGCTGCCCTCCTGTGCTGCTGAGGGCAAGGCATGGAGGGGCTCACAAGGACCGCTTTCCCAGGCATCACCCTGGGTGCATGGCCCAGCTGCCACCCTGGACTGTGCCTTGTGCTGCTCAACCCACAAGTAAGGAAGGCAGAGCCTGTTTTCTGTGTCCCTCATGGCTAGTGTGCTCTCCATTGAGTCGTATGTGATTCTGTGTCTCCATTGCACGCGCTTCATCCATTACTAGTGTTTGCATTTCCCCACCCTTTCTCTTCTCAATTTCTAGATACTTCATTCCATCTTCATTTTACTTCTCATTTTCCTTTGCCACTGTGTTTACACTGGTTTTCCTGTTCATGATTTTGTCTGGTAGTTTTTTCATTGTCTGCCTTACCTGTTTTGCTTTATCCACCTCCCTACCCTTTATCTGCTTGTCCTCTGTTTCTTGTTTAAAAATCGAAATCTAAAAACACAAACAAATCCCTCCCGTGCACCTAACAGTGGAAACTGAGAGATCAGCTGGAGTGGTCGCTCTCTCAGGAGCGAGGGGACGAGAGAGATGGCCTGCGCCTCCGAGCTGCCGCACGAGAGCTGCACCGCCGGGCTGACGGGGATGTTGGGAACCACCGGCCTGGAGGCCAGAGCGGCTTCAACCTGCTAGAGGTGAGTGTGCTAGCTGAAGGCCCATGACCAGTACCCACCTTGCCGTTCCACCTCTTTCTACCCATTTTCTGTGTGTCTGGCTGTGTGAAGTTTCCCACGGGACAAGGTCCTTAGGCAACGTAGAAGGAAGACCTGGAACCAGGTAGAACTTAACCTGTAGTCAGAATCCATTGCAGGTAATGACAAGCAGATATGTACATGGGTGCGTATGGGTGACCCGCAACTGTCCTTGTCAAATGGGAGGGATAGCTCACAGCAACATCCTCCCCTTCTTCACCCTCCAGAACTGGACACCAAAGTCACAGAGGTGCCTGGAGGGGTGAGCAGACAGGCTGGATTGACTTGCAAGTGTCCAATGGCTTCCTGCCCTACAGCAGAGAAGGCAGAATCTTTGTTGGTCTAGAAGAAGCTTTCCTTTTCTTCTATTCTTCATTGCCTGTGTCTCATATGACTTGCCCCATGGTCTCTGGGAACATTTATTTTGGCCTATTGGTAGAATCAAGGATGTTTTCTATCCCACTTGTGGCATCCTCAGTCAGCTCTGTTACCATAGTAACAGCTTGTACACACAACTGCAGCCGCCTTCATTGCTGAAACTATCTGTGGTTCTGTAAGAAGGGAGCTTTGAAACAAGGCACCCCACACAGAACAGAAAGGTCTGCCCCAGCAGCAGGCCTTGGCTGGATCCCTGCCTGGCACTCAGGGTATTGGCATTTTTACAGTGGCACATTCTCTATTAGAAAAGGGCATGTCTTCCTAGACACAGAAGAATCTCCTCTCTTAATACTGAGACATGGGAGTAACTCCCCCAGGGCAGAGCTGAGAGAGAGGTATAACAGCTGGAAGCAAACAGATCACCAGGCAAAAAAGCTGGTCTGTGTAATTAAAAATGTCACCCCAGGTCCATGTGGTGTGCTGCTGGTGAAGTAGGAACCGATGCCATTATAGCATTAGCTACTGTGGGGCCGTTGCTCCTCCCACAAGAGACCAAATGGGTCTGATTTGTGGCATTTCCCCTGGCCTTGGTAAGAGAGTACATTATGTCTGCACCTTTGTGCACACAAGGACATGAAAATCATTTTCTAAAAGCTTAAACAAAAGCTAAAAAGTATTAGGAAACACCATGTACAGTCCTGTCCTGTCATCCTCATGTTAACTGAGAGGCCAGAGTCACCTGAGAAGGTGGCAGACAGGTCCATACCCCTGAGGAAAATAAATGTGGTACCACTCTGTGTACTAAAGAGGTGCGGCAGGAGATGCTCCCCACACCAAAGAGCCAAGCACACACTTGTGTAGCCTTGTGGGAAGCAGACAGTCTTAGCATGCCCATTGGAGGGGTGTAGGGTGCCACCATAGGCAGGTCAGGAACTGGAAAGGTCACCTGGTGAGAACACCCATTTTGAGCATCTGCCATCTTACATTTAACATGTCCTGAACAACATTGTTAGACACAGAGTTAGGCAATGTGACATCATACCCACTTCAGTTTGTGATGTTTCAAAACAGCAAGTCAGATGTTCCTCTCTTTTATATCAGAAGCAAAACAGAATAGCCAAATGTTTGGGACATTCATTTATTTTCCCCATGGATTTAGTGAGTTAACCCATATGACTTACTGGAACTTTCCCAGGAAGTACTTTTGTTAGCTTGTACTGTGTGCAGGGTCATCCCCTGAGAATGCTGGATATGTGGGCAGTTACAAACTCAAAAGGCTGGACAGAGAACCTCAGGAAGGTCCATTTCCCAGCCTCTAATTAAGGCTATTGCACCAAGCTAATTTTAGCAGGGGTATTGTAGAAAATTACCAATGTGGTTTTTCAGGCAAGTCTCATGGCTTCTACTTTCTCATCTGTGAGGCTGTGAGGTATAAGGGTCCAATACTGCCTGCCTCATCGTGTAGGGGGAGGTGACTTCCAGAACCAATGAGCTGCTAAATGAGGAAGTGTCTCAAAAATACCAAATGCTGTGACCCTGAAAAGGAGGGTTAATATAAAGAGAAGCCACTATGTGCCAACTTTGTAGAGTGCCAGCAGGGCCGCCATCCTGGTATCAGTTTTCTGTGCCCTTTCTCCTTTTCCACAGTTTTTTCCCAATCCTGGGTCAGAACCATAGCTCAGGCTGTACACAGCTCCTTTTCCAGGGGCCCCTCATTCAGGCCATGTTGTATCCAGTCGTGGCTAGTGAAGCTCTGTGAGTATTGGAGATCTTCTGACACTGGAGCAATAATCAGGTGCCACACAAATGCATGCATCCCAGAAAGTCAGCTCGTAGCACGGAGAAAAATAAAACACTTGGCTAAATGACAAGGACAGGCAACATCCACAAGAGGCAGATGAGCCACGCTGGATGGTACCATATGGTGACATGGGGATCGCTGACACGTGTAATTCAGTTAAAGCAAAGGAGAATGGCTGGTCTTTAGACTTACTCTCTTGTTCCATAATGAGGAAAATGAGGCCTGGGAAGTGAAGCCTTTACTAATGAGCCTCTAGGCAAATTGGTCACAAACTAGATTCTGAGCTCTGGCAGAGAAGCCAGTCAGCACCGAGCCTGGGCTGTGTTTCTAGTCACCGTCAGGGGATTGACCATACAGCCAGCTACCTGCCTTGGTAGTCATTTCACTTTCTTATTTTAACGGAAGGCCTAGTGGAGGGAGCATTGTTTCCTAGAAGGGACTGGAGTGGTAATCAGGACTCATGAGTCCTTCCTCTTTCATCCTTCCCTCTGACATTTGTAGTCACAAAGGCATTTCACATGGAAGAGAAAACTTGAGAATGCAAACACAGTCTATTTTGAAAGAGGCTTTTCATGAAGCCCCTTCAATATGTCCACAGTGCTTCCTTTGGCTAGAAGGGCTGATTGTCAGTCCCTATAGGGCCTGGATCAGGGATGATGCCATAGTCTGGCTAACCTGGTTGTGAAATTTATGTTTATGTGAAAGGGCACATTTACAAGAACTAATGAAAAGACCCCTAAATTCATTGTGAGCAGTATATGTTTGTGAAAAGCTATCATGGAAATGGCACACAGAGCTCCCCTGGAACAGCAACTCAACCCAAAAAGGCTCTCTGTGTTAAAGACTCCATGACTCAGTCACTGACAAAAGACAAATGTGCCCCTTCCCTTCTTTTCTTAACCTCCCCTCTCCTCCCTTTCCCTCTTCTCCTCTTCTCCCTTTTCCCCCCTTCTTCTTTCCCCTTTTGCCCTTCTCCCCTCACCAGCTTCCTCCCTCCCCCTTCCTACCTCCCCTCTCTACCTGTCCTTCTTCTCCCTTCCTCTACTGGCCCCTCCTTTCTCTCCCTCTCCCCTCTCTTTCCTTCCTTTCTCTTCCCTTGGATGGGAAAGGATAGAACTCAGGGCCTTGCAGATGCTCTGCCTGGGGAGTACACTGCCACTGGGCCACACCCTGAGTCCCAGCCCCAAATATTCTGATCCTGAAAGAGGCCAGCATGCAGTTGAATACAGTTAAAGATGTGCTGCTAGCAGTTGTCTTTATGTCCTCTTAACACTGCCCTTTAAATAACCACTGACTTTGTCCTCTGGCCAACTACTTGTAGCTGTGTGGAGTCCTCTTTGTGCTCCTTGTCATTAGTTACTGGGGGGTTGGGAAGATGGCAACAGTACTAGCACAAAAGAAGAGACAGCTTTGTGAATTTCTGAAGTTGTCTATAAAGATTAAGCCCCATTTGTGAATTTGACTTTAGACATTTTCATATTTGGGGATAGAGAAAGAAGATAAGTTGTTAGTTTGGAAGATGATATTTTAGCCATGTTTAAATTACAGTAGTACCAACAGCAGCAGTAATAACACCAAGGAGATAAATAAAAGTCTGTCTTTTACTGTCAGCGGACAGGGAACTGCTGCTCGGCTGCCACCCATCACTACACTTAGAGAAAGCAAGGTGTATCCAGGCCAGCTTTCTTTTCTTTTTCTTTTTTCTCCCCTTTTCTTTTGTTCTTTTCCTTCCTTCTTCTTTCCTCCCTCTCTTTTCTTTTCCTTTCCTTCCTTCCTTTCCTTTCCTTCCTTCCCTCCCATCCCTCCCTTCCTCCTCCACTTCTGGCTTTTTGCTGGTTAACTGGCAAGTCTCATGGACTTTTCTCCTTGAGTTGGCTTTGAACCTTGATTCTCAGATCTCAGCCTTCTGAGTAGTAGCTAGGATTGCAAATGTGAATCATCAGCACCTAGCTGGGTTAACATTCTTAACACAACCACAGCTAGAATAAACAAAAGTCAGAGCCCCCAAACATCCACAATTAATACAACTATGTAGACCTTAACTACTAAAAACTAAAGATAGGCTTCCTGATGCTTACCACAGGCTATATTGCACTATATAGAAAGAGGAGGCAGAGTAAACCTACCCCTCATATACACCTCAGCAGGCCCAGTGCCTGGTGTGTATTGTGAACAAGAAGACTTGGGGAAAAAAAATCCCAAAAAACTAAAGACAGCCCAACAGACTTCAGAAGCCTGTTCATCCCTGTAGATATTGATTGGCCAGATGCTAGCACCGTGTGCTGGCCTCTTCCCCTGTACCTCCCATTAAACATGCTGAGAGATTCACATTTGTGAAGAGCACAGTGTATAGAATTTTTCAGGTGGAATGTGCCAGGCCCCTTAAAAATAGTTCTGAATGAGAAGTGGCCAAGCACGGACACTGGTCAGATTTCACACATAAATGAAACCAAGCCTGTGCCCAGAGGATTGAGTTTCTGGGCCAGAAATCTCAAAGAGCTTTTCTCCCTGGCTCCTCATTTTATCCTTTAATCATCGAAGCACACCGAGCATCTGAGATCACTATGCCTCAGCTGTGAATACCAACCGCAGAAAAACTGTGTGGGATTTATGCCAAGTATTTGTACACATGTGTTGACCTCATAGCCCGCGTTTGAAAGGAGTGGTGGCAGAACTGGCAAGGATAAAATGGAGCTCACCAGAAGTGAAGTCATGGTAATGGAAGCATTGTAGAGTCCTGGTGTGTAAGTTGCATTGCTGAGTATTTATTATAGGGCCCATAATGAAAAGCATTTCTGTATTTTGTTTTGTTTGCTGGTACTGGGACTTGAACTCAGGCCCTTGTTCTGACTTGGTTTGCTTGCTCATGGCTGGTGCTCTACCACTAGAACTACATCTCCAACTTGACTCTTTTCTTTCTGTTTATTGAGATAGTGATGTTATTTTCTGAATCATGGGCGGGGGGGAAATTAAGCTAGCTTCTTAGGAGATGTCTAGAAATGTCCTCTATGTAGGCCTATCAGAAGTTTTATTTCACAGCATTACACAGACTCTGTGGGCATTCAGAATGCTAACAAGGGGGAAGAGTGGTCATGATATCAAGATTAATATTGTCACAGCTTCAGAAACAAGTAGGCATGGTATTTTTTTTTTTAATATACCGCACAGGGGCTCAAGCCTTTAATCCTTGCCATTTGGGAGGCTAAGATCAGGAGATGGTGATTTGAGACTCGCCCGGACAAAAAAAGTTAGGAGACTCCATCTTGACCAATGGCTGGGCATTTCAGTGTGTGCCTGTTATCTCAGCAGTGTGAGAAAGTACAAAGAGGAGGATTGCAAATCGAGGCTGATCTGAGCATACTGTAAAACCTTATCTTATAAAATTAACACATGAAAGGTCTGGTGGAGTGGCTCAAGTGGTAGAGTGCCTGTCTAGCAAGTGTGAGACCCTAAGTTAAAACTCTAGTATTGTAAAACCAAAATACATCAACAGCAAAACTGCATTCCCAGATCAGGAGGCATTTGTGTAGTGTATGATCAGGATCATAGGTAAGTGAACAAGGGATGGGTTTTAGAATCAAGCCTTTGGGAATTTAGTGATGAAGGAATGTGCTTATTTTCCTAGAGGAAATTTATATGTTGTATGAAACGTTCCCCGAATGTATGTACTTGTATGCAGTTATGTGGCAATAGAGTCATTCTAGATGGAAACTTTTGCTATAATGTGTTTGTATTTTGTTCTTTGTAACACTGGAGTGACATTGGCACATTGGCTAGGAGTGGCTGTCAGGAATTTTAATATTCCATTAGCCAAAAGGAATAATCCAAGAAAATAAACTTCTGATAGGCCTAGATAGAAATCAGACATTCTTGGCCAACACCCTCACAAGACCTCAAGGGTCCTCTTCTGTGACCTCTCAAAGGTGTGGCTAAAACAGGATAGCCATATAATGAAATATGAGGCTTATCTACTTGTTTGAAATAATAAAATGTTTATTAAGATTGAAGCCAAATCAAATAGTTTAGTGTAATATGGATTAAGTAGCCTTAATTTGAAATCCAGAATTCTCCAAAATCCAAAACTTTTTGAGCTACCCACATGACTCCAGAGAGATAAAATTCTATACTACAAAAATTTATGCACTGAATGTTTTTGAAGATTTTATTAAGTAATCTTCAGTCCATGTGTATAAAGTACATACAAAACACAAATGGATTTTTTGTTTAGACCTGGCCTATCCCAATGTGAATCATATACATGCAAAAAATATAACTACAAATAGAAAAATAGAAATACAAATGCAAAAATACAAATACAAAAAAAGTCTGACATGTTAATCTCCTGGCCCCAAGCATTTTTGGATAATGGATACTCAACCTGAAAATAGAAATTAATTTGCATTGATTATCCTTTTTCTTTATTAAACTTGATTAGGACATTTGTTTTAATGCCTTAAAGGTATAAAGCTTTCTGATGGTACCCAATGCATTGAAATGTGAAGGGCCTTTGCATTTTAAGTTTGTAGAATAACATGTAACTGGAAGCTAAAGCTGGTAGTCAGCAGTCCAGACCACATGGAAACATTGCTGCAAGTAGGAAACACCTGAACTCTGCAGCTCTTTCTTAAGGACAGGGTTCGATGGCTTCATTTACTGCTTTGACTCCAGTGCCTAGTACTCTTGAGTACCCAATCAGTATTGGTTGAATAAAACAGAAAATATCCTTTTATTTATATAACTGAGTTATCAGGACAGTCAGAGTAATCCTTAAGACTGGAATTTATTTTAGAATTGAAAATGAAAGTATTATCTGATCATTAGGTGGATGGATTAAGAGAATAGTTACCAGAATTGGTAACCAGGACTCTTGGTTGCAGTAGCTCCAAGGGAACTAGAGACTAGGCCACGTGCCTAACACCTGCCAAGAGACATGAATGAACAGGAGAAACATTAGCCTATAGTTGCCAGGCAGGAGGGCGACAATAGGACACTCAACCACCCACCAAGGGCTCTGAGTTGGGAATAGAAGGAGTCAGAGCCGGGGTCATGGTCAAGTTTTGAAGTGATCTTGCCTATTTGGTATGGGAAGGCCCAAGGAATTGGTATCTTACTGATGCCTCCTGCAAACACAAAACTAACCTTGGAGGTATAATCTCATCCAACACATAGGAGACACATAGACTACCCATTGAAAATGAACTCACCATGCAGAACAACAAGCACACAATCAAAAAGCTATCTGACAGGAGTAAGCACACTGTAGGATTTGACTCAAGGCCTTCAAAGTTATCAAATAAGACACTGTGCAATAAGTGTGTTCAAAACTATAAAAGACAAGCAAACAAGAGACAAGAAAAAGTTGCTACCGTTAAAAATCCACACATTTGAAAGTAATAACACAGGGCTTTTAGAAATGAAAAACTAGTCACTGGGGTAAACTCAACCAATAGAGAAATACCTCTTTTCAAAGAAAACTCAGATAAAAGATTAATTTCCAGCAACTGGCAACTTAAGCATTTAATGTTCTCAGAAGTTCTTGGGTTTCTTTACAGTTGGATGAGTTTCAATCTAGCTTTTAAAATTTGATTGCAAAGTTGATGAATCCCAGGGGTCTCTGATTTCCTTCCCTTCATTCTTCCTCTAAGTGTTCTCCATTACCCAGCAGTGCTAAGTGAAGGGCTTTCCACATTTGTTTCTACATTTCCTGTTTTGGGGGCATGATCTTCACTCATGACAACCACATAGCCTCAGATCCTGGAGAGGAACAGTGATCCCCTGGGAGAGAAAGAGCCAGGGAAATGACATGGTTTTATTGCAACAGTCCACTCTAATTCCTAGCTTTATAAATCACCTATCTTCAAGTAGCTCAAGTGAGTGGGCAAATATCTTGCTTTAATTTTAATGATGCTTAAAATTTTTAGTATCACGGCTTCCATCTTTTAAAAACAAAACACATTTTAATTTAAAAAGTAATGACTGAGTTCTCTCCCATGGCCGTATGGACTTGAGGATTAAGTCACCACCAACAAAAATACAAATTCTGTGTCTGGTTTTAGCCTGAATATAATATACAGATGTCTTTGTGTTGTTCCTCCTGGGCAGTTTGTACCCTTCAGAGGCTTAACAGTAGTATTTGGCCTTAGGAAGAGCTCTACCCCATCTACCCTGAGCACCCAGAGTCACATTGCCCAGGTGAATGGAAGGCATGTTTGGTAGATAGGGTAATCCCTAATAAGCACATACCTGAACAGAATTGTTGTGCAACCTAGGAGGTCCCTATATGACTCAGGAAGTGAATCTACACAGCTGAGTGATAGGTGGCCATTCTTGACTCAGTTCTACAACTAGCATATTTCAAAACCTAGAAGCTGCTATATTGGCAAGGACCCCCAACTGTAAACCCTGCCTGGCTTCCTTTTCTGGGGCTAGTTTGTGGTGGTTGGGGGTGAAGTTCAGATGCCAAAGCTCCACTTACACTCTGCCTCTAGGTGAGAGATAGAGGTGAAGGGCAGGAAGAGTAGCCCATGACCTCGCCCCACAGGTAGCCTGGCGCTCCGAGTGTCAGGCTCCCCTGTGAGAAGCCCCAGGGGAGGTGGCCACAGTCACTCCACTGCTGCAGCCCCACGTGCTGTGTCTCCCATGTATGTCTCAGCTTGTACGGATGTCTGTCCTGTGTCATCACGTCAAGCAGAGTTCTCATTTCCACTAAACCCCTTCCTTTATCCCACTGATAGCTCAGGGGCCCCCCTGTTTTACCTGAGCAGAGTGTTTCGATAGAAGAGCTACAGGGTCAGCTCGTGCAGGCGACCAGACTGCATCAAGAGGAGACAGAGGCATTTACAAACAAGATCCACAAGGTAAATATTTCACAGGCATTTCAACACAATTGCTTCTTAGCCTGCAGCCTTCCTCAGAAAAGACATCAGTATGCATTTGTAAAGAATGCTGTCAATCACGTACAGGCTAAATGACCCATAAGCATATGGACATATCACCCAGTTGTGCTCCCTCCCCCTCCCCAAAGTTCCATAAAGACAACTGCTCATTTCTCTGCTCTGTGGGACATTTTTCAATACACTTGTCTCACACACTGCAGGTTGCTTTGTGGATTTCAATATACTTGTCTCACACACTGCAGGTTGCTTTGTGGATTTTTTTTCTTTGGTCGGTCGTGGGTCTTGAACTCTGGGCACTTTCAGCTCTTCAGCTCAATGCTAGGTCTCTCCCACTTGAGTCACAGCACCACTTCTGGCTTTTCTGGTGGTTTATTGGAGATAATCATTTCATGGGCTTTCCTGCCTGGGCTGGCTTTGAACAGCGATCCTCAGATCTCAGCCTCCTGAGTAGCTAGGATTACAGGCATATGCCACTGGCACCTAGCTGCTTTGTGGATTCTCAAAATCACAAATGGTATCAAAACCCTTATATTCTATGTTTGCCAGTTCTGTATGTATGCGGACCTATGATCAAATTTAACTTACAAATTAAACACAATAAAAGACTAACAACGACTGATCATAAAATATAGCCATTATAACAACACATGATAGTTAATCTTAATTAAAATTTATGGCAGGGCATATATGCCTATAACCTCAACACTTTCAGAGGTAGAGAAAGGGAGGATTGCAAAGCCAGCCTGGGCTTTATAGCAAGATGTAATTTTAAACTGAATTGCCCTTCTTGGACTTTTGATTTAATATTACTGGACTGTGATTGATTTTGGGTAACAAACCACATAAAGCAAAACTTAAGATGAGAATAAAGGAGTGTGTTTATGGTATTAGGAAGCCTTCTCATACCTAGTCTAACTTTACCACAAACTAATATCAAATCCGGGCCTTAAATGCAAATGGAATTAGGTCAGTCACACTGATTGTCAAGCCAGTTTTTTTTTTTTTTTTTTTTACTGAAGCATAGACTCACCCTAAACCATTGTCTTGAAGAAGCTGCCAGTAACTGAGCTATGGCCTGGTTAACTCTTTAGCCATTTTCAAATAACCTAATACAGGCTAATTTTCTGTTATCCACTAAATCCTTTCCCAGAGTTCTCAGTGGAAGGGACTCCACAGATGCAGGCACTTCTAGTTCCAAGCATCCCCAGGACATTGCGATCTCTGATACCCTCATACCTAATTAAATTGGAGATGAATATCTAGGCTCAGAATTTCCATAGCTACTTCTCCTTTTTATATTCTTGGAAGATAGCTGCTTCTTTAAAACAAAACAGAGAAGTGGATCCTGAATGGTGTGTCCCTTGATGTTTTACTGTGCACCATGAAGGACCCAGTGTATCTTGGAATCTACTTTGGCAAGGAGTCTGTGTTCTATGCCTATGGCTGTGTGATGACTGAGGCCAGGGGCATCTGAGTGGGTCACAGGGGATTGGCAGAGCTGAAGGCTAGGACTGAGTGTTCTCCGCTGTCTCACATAACATTACCAAAGGAAAATGACTTGGTCACTTAGGAGACAGATTCCTAATTTAAATTGTTCATTTATTTAGCATAGCCTCCAAAATATCTTGAAACGTGAGCTTATCAGTGAAGATGCTAACTAAGACAGTGGCAAGGCCCCTGTATATGTAACACTGGGTTCACCATCGAGGAGTATGCTGAAGATGAAACTTCAGAGTGGGAGGTTTTGTTCTCTGGGCATATTCAGAAGTGAAATGGAAGTATCCTCTTATGTCCCTAGGGGAAGGAAGACCTAGCTGTGTGATTTTAAGAGGCACTTGAGGCCTCCTAAGGGACACTGATAGGAGGAGAAAGAGAGGGAAAGGAGAATCTGGATGGGAGAAGATGCTGCATACAAAGGGCATGGGACTGCCCCTTGAAGGTGTAGCATCTGGAGTCTCAACACCTTTCCATCATGTCTTCAAAGCGGCTTGTGCAGCCTTCATGTAGTCTCCAAGGAAACTGGAGCCTTCCCACTGTGAATCAGTTGAGAGCCGAGCAGAGGAGGAGCTGCAGACATGAAATTTCCAGTGTACCAAGTTACCCTTCACTCTGGACTCGTGCATTCTTGTGTCCACACCAGCCTCAGACCTCTGAGAACTGCCGAGGTGGTGGATAAAATTGCCAGTGTTTAGCTGTACATGTACAGCGGGTATTAGGACATTGGCTATGGGCATCTGTAGAACTCTGGCCCTGCCCAGAGCCCTCACATTCCTCATGACTGGCCTTCATTTAATACTTCAACCATCTGGGTAGCATTCACAGCCAGCCATTAGTCCTATCCCAGGGTTCCTGAGAATTACTAGTATATTGGCTTTTAGCATAAGAAGGAGTGTTAAATCAGGAGAGGGAATCTAATAAATGGTAAGGCTGACATTCTAACCCCAGTTTTGGTTTGTTGCATGGAAGCCTTTGCTCTCATGTGGTTACGGCTACTACAGAGATTATTCTTGTACCTTTAGTTGCAAAATGGGATTTTATTTGCATCCTTTGGCCTAGTCAGGATTGATGCCTAATAATTTTTGATGGCTTCGAAGCATGCCAGTAGGTGTTTAGAAAGAAAACAGGAATGTAAGCCAGAGATTGGTGACTCACACCTGTAACCCTATCTATTTGAGGAAGCTGAGCTCTGAGCATTGAAGTTTGAAGCAAGTTTGGGCTGAAAAATGCATGAAACTCCAATTAATCAGCAAAATTCTGGACTAGAGGCTCTACTGAAGAGAGAGTGCCAACTGTGAGTGAAAAAGAAACTTAGCTGAGCCCAAACAAAAAAACATGCCACCAAATTAAGAACCAGGAATTTTGTTATTTCCCTCAGAGATAGGCATATCTGATAGGAACATTAAATCTTAAATGTGGACATAATTACCACCTTGTCTTTTTGCTCACAGTTACAGGCAGAATCTTTTCTGTTCCAGCCACTCTGGCTTCCCAGCTCTTGGTGGACTTTCCATCAGCTTGATATTCTCTGTTAGAGGTGAGGAGCCATGGTGCTCAGAAAGTAAAAGCAAAGGATTGGCTTTTTGGCATTCAACATGCCTTGTGTCACATACTTGCACAGAGGAAAATTAGAATGACTTTAATGACTGTAAGGTACACATCCAAAAAACAAGTCTCCTGAAAGGATTTAGAAATAATCTAAAATCACTGTGAGATATTGACAGCAATAAATGTCTACAATTTCCTCCCTAGAAACAGTACTTGCTTCTGATCACAAAATGCTTTAAGGATTTTTTACATAGTAAACATTTCAAGTCATTTATCACCTTACATGTATAGGGTGGGGAGGGGAGGGGAGGAATGCTCCTGTATTTCACATCCTCTTTGAAAAGTGGTCTAGATTGACCAACAGTTTGTAAAGCCCTCTAGTTGTGTTTGGGTGGCAAATTGAAGAAGACACATGTTACAGTTCCTCTTTACTCTTGTTCAAGATGGAGGAGGAGCACCTGTATGCCTTGAGGTGGAAAGAACTGGAGATGAACAGCCTGGCTTTACAGAACACCCTCCATGAGCGAACTTGGAGTGATGAGAAGAATCTGCTGCAGCAGGAGCTTCGGTCCTTAAAGCAGAACATTTTCCTCTTCTATGTCAAGCTCAGGTGGCTACTGAAACACTGGCGGCAGGGGAAGCAGATGGAGGAGGGAGGAGAGGATTTCACTGAGGTAATGCCACTCTGGAATTCATTCTCTTTGTGTGCTTTGTTCTTGACCCTCAGACACTGTTGCCCTTCACTTCCTACAAAACCATGTTCTGTTATTTTCAATTATTTTTGTAAATTTCAGTCCAGGCTATAGAAATGCAATGGCTTGTCCAGGTATACATGTAATCAAGAATTCTGTGCTGTGCTTTGACCTAGCTCTGTTCTAGAACGAAGTGTTGCTGTCGTTTCCTTTGTTGTTGGATTTATTAATCTACTGAGGTGCTCTGCCTGATATCTCCTTTACCATCTCACTCAACCTTGCTGTTTATAATAGCTAGAATTAAGCCCAGTGAGAACCATGTGATGAAAATGCTAAGGACCGTGGAGTCCCTATCCCTACGCTGTCCAGTGTCTGTGTTGCTGCAGCCTCTGGGCTCTCATAGTTAGTTGACTGCAATTAACAATATACTTTTTAATGTGGGAAAACCAGATGACTCTTTTAAGATAATGACCATCGTCAAAACAAAATGTATAATTAATTAATTTGAATAAATTTAGTGATTAAATGCAAAAACAGCTGGGTTTCAATGTTTGCCCTCTTTCCCATTTTAGTTCATGTTCCCAGATATTAGAGCCCAAGACAACTATATTTTTTTGTGTGTGTGCATGTTGGTCCTATGGCTTGAACTTAGGGCCTGGGCACTATGCCTGAACTTTTATTATGCTCAAAGCTAGCACTCTACCACTTAGACCATACCTCTATTTCCATGTTTTTGATGATAAATTGGAGGTAAGAGTCTCTCAGACTTTTCCTGCCCAGGATGGCTTCTAACCTAAATCCTTAGATCTCAGCTTTTGGAAGTAGCTAGAATTATAGGCATGAGCCACTGGTACACAGCTTTATAACATTTTGTTTTATTTTGTCCTATTGGGGATGGAGCCCTGGGCTTCATGCTTGCTGGGTACTACTTGAGCTACATCCCCCAGTCCTTCAGTTTTTTCTTTTGTTTTTGACAATTTGTGTGTGTCTGTGTGTGCATGCGTGTATGTATATGTTTTACTTTTGCCCAAATTCTAAAGTCTCCTGACTCTGCCTCCTGAGTTGCTGGGATTATGTGTGTACCACCACATCCAGTTTTATAAGGATCTCACAGAGTTAATTTGTCACTTCTGGAACTCATGTATCTTTTCCCCATCATATCTCAATTCCTAGATCCATAAATAGCCACAGGACAGAGCTTTTTGCTTTGTGATTGGTTTATTGCTGAAGTGAAGGTAGAGTGACCTCTATCTCCATAGGCTTTGCTTTCTGGTGAGCATAGGCTGGAGCTACTAGGCTGTATGTTGAGTGCAACAACACCTGGGCTACTTGCTCAGCTACTTCAAAGCACTGAGCTCCCAAAGGCCTTTTGTCTGTTTTCCACTCTAGTGAACAGAATAAGTAAGTTTTAGTAATACTATGAATAATGATTCTCTTTCTTCAAGGTGAATAAAGTCTTTAAAAATTGATTCAAATGGCCTTCAAGGATCCATAGAAAATTATCGTTAAGCAAATCTTATAAATAATTGATTGTAGGGCTTTCTGTTGATCTCTCCTATTTCTAAAACTATAGCTAATTTTTTTTTTTACAATAGTCAGACTATAGAATCACTCTAATTACTCATGGATGGATGAGTGGATAAATATAATGTGCTATATATACATATGAGTATTATTCAGCTTTGCAAATAAGAAAAAATTTCTGTCATGTGCAACAATATAATTAAATCTGAAGAGCATTATACTAAATGAAATAAGACAGATGCAGAAACATAGGTATAGCATAATTGCATTTTTATATGAATCCAAAAACTTCAAACTTGTAGAACCAGAGTAGAATGGTGGTTACCAGGGCTTTGACAGTTGGAAAAGTGAGTAACTGTTGGTCTAGGTGTATAAAGTTGCAGTTATGTAGTATAGATAAGTCTAGAGATTAAATTGATAATGCCATTATAATTGGCAATGTACTGTTGGGTCTTGAAATTTGCTTTGAAGGTAGATTCTGAGTGTTCTCATGTCACACAAAAAAGGTAGTAAGTGACAGAATTGAAAAGGAAACCCTATAACTGTAAGCAATACCCATTTACGAGAAGTAAAGTTTCTTACTTGTTTTTCTAATAAATCAAGCGCCCATCCTATGCTATCTAAAAGGACAACATACCAATGAATGAAATGACAACATTGAGCATTTTTAGGGAGAAGACTGAAGGAAAAGATTTGATAATCCATATGGTTACCCTCAAACAATAAAAATTAGGCTACTTGTAGACAGCTCCAAGTGCTAAGGAAGCTTAAGTGGGTAGATTGCCTGGGCCCAGGCCCTGATGCCAGTTGGTGCAAAAATTTGGCCTACAGTGAGAAAAGGCCTATGCAAAGCTGTGTTTATCATATATTGCTGGTTTCAGAGTGAACATCCAGAGACCTTCCCTGGGCTTGGTGAACTAGGAGTCCAGGGGGGTCACCAGGTGGAAAGACCAGCCCGAGATGATGGTGACCAAGGCTGTGGCTTTCCAGTAGGGGAGCATTCCCTACATACCCCTGTGCAGACTGGTGACCATGGACCCCGGCTGCAGACTTTGGATGGAGGACCACTCAACAAGCAGGTGGGTGCTTAGATTTAAGCCCATCATTTTGTGCATATGGGGAGAGGAGGCTCCTTGGCCATGTTTGTATAGTCTTACTCCATATATTGGTGTTCCCAATCACAGAAAATCCTTTACGTGACTCTGACTATCTGTGGCTTTTTGTGAGGCTGAATTTTCGCAAGAAATCATGTCATTCAACCTTTTCTTTAAAAAAAAAAAAATGATGGTGCTGGGTCTTGAACTCAGTGTGGGCACTGTCCCTTAGATTTTTCATTCAAGGCTGACACGCTACTACTAAAACCATACTTCTGGCTTTTGCATGATTAATTAGAGATTAGAATCTAATGGACTTTTCTACCTGTATTGGCTTTGAGCCATGATCTTCAGATCTCAGCCTCCTGAGTAGCTAGAGTTACAGTTATGAGCCACGAGCACTGGACTTATTTGGCCTTTTAGTCTTACTATATCAAGTCCATGATGTGGTTTGGCTTTGTACATACAACTAAGGACCTTAGTAAGAGCAGATCCATTGAGTTGTCCACTCCCTCCCTTGATCCAGCATATATATGTCAGGAGGAAAAAATAAATATTGAGAACCATTTGTGAAAGTTAATGGTTGACTGTTCTTCCAAGAAGAGAAAATTTTACTGCAATGTTCTTATCACAGCAAGAAAAAGGACTTGCAGAGCATTTGTGTTGATGTTTAGCTCAACAGCCATTGCCAACATCAATGATTTGATAACATCATTTTAAGAAAGAAATATCAGGTAGTTTTTATTTAAATCCCCAATATAAAGTATTTCAGGTCTTTTTGGCTATTTGAATCATAATATCCCAAATAAAAATATTTGATGACACCTTGGAAACATTAAAGTCTATGTAGAAAAGTAGAATTTCAATGTTACTAAGTAATTATTATTGTCCCCAAGCACCCTAGAAATAGACTCTGGTTATTAATAAACCAAAATATGATAACGTGTGTGTGTGTGTGTGTGTGTGTGTGTGTGTGTGTGTGTGTGTGTGTGTGTGCTCATGCCTGTGTGTGCCTGTCAGTCATAAGGCTTGAACTAAAGGTGTGGGTACTGTCCTTAGCTTTTTCTCTCAAGGCTAATACTGTAACACTTGAACCACAGCTCTACTTCGAGCTTGTTAATTGGAGATGAGTGTCCCAGATTTATCTGCCTGAGCTGGTTATGAACCATAATCCTCAGATCTCAGCCTCCTGAGTAGCTAGGATTACAGATATAAGCCAACAACTCCAAGCTCTTTGGGGTGTTTTTGTTTTGCATTTTAATATAAAATGTCTGCTAAAGTAGATTTGTAGAATTGAGATCCCAAGAGATACCTTGTAATAGAGCTTTCTTGCAGCCAGATTTCTGAGTCCCTTCTGAGCCTGCTTTGCTTCTCAGAGGGAACTCCTGCAATGAAGCCTGACTTCCCCTACCTCTGGGTTGCCTGTGAGCTGGGGTGAAGATGTAAGCCAGCTGGACACTGGGTGAGACCCTGGCCTTGGAGTCACAGGCATGCAAAAGCACTGTGTGCCAGACTCCACAGCTGCTAGTCCTCTCCCACCCAGCCCCTCTGCCCAGAGCTTTGTGCGTGGGTCATGTGATAGAAGATTGTCATCAGGATTTTGGCTCTGATCCAGATGAGGAAGAGTAGCAGTATTCACAGTGCAGGCTAAGAGGATAATTGAGATTTCTCTCAACGGCCTTCCTTCCATATATAGATCAAATATTTACATGAAACAGCAACTCTCTGCCTATACCACCCCTTTCCTTACCCTGAATGATGTCACTTAGGAAGGAGCTTATACTGTCAAAGAAGACTTTACTCACAACCATTAGGAAGTGTGTCCATGGGGAGATTTTAGATCACGGAATAAGATTTCCGGCAGTGTGATCTAGTTAGAAACCAAAACATTACTAATAATGTTTTCAAAGCTGGCAGTTCCTTTTTTGTATGTGTGCCAGTACTGCAGCTAGAATTCGGGGCCTAAGTGCTGCCCTTTAGCTTTTTTGTTCAAGGCTGGTGCTCTACCACTTGAGCCATGCTTTACTTCTGGTTTGTTTGTTGTTGTTTTTTGTTAATCGGAAATAAATCACACAGACTTTCTTTCTCCAACTGGCTTTGAACTGAGATCCTCAAATCTTGGCCTTCAGAATAGTCAGGATTATAGGTGTGAGTCAGCAGCACCTAGCCGAAATTTGGTAATTTATCATTATTGGTATTGTTATTTTTGCCAGTCCTTGGGCTTTAATTTAAGGTCTAAGCACTGTGCCTGAGCAGCTTTTGCTCAAGGCTATCACTCTACCACTAAGCCACATTCCCAGCCCTATTATTTTTAAGAGATGTTCCCATTCAATCTTCTAAAATATCTGTGTTTAGCTGTGATGGTTTTTACTCAGACATCAACCTGCTGCATGGTGGGTGTTTCCCATATATGCACCCCAGTGCTTTGGAAAAGGGAAAAAAATGTAACAAATCTAATTTTCCAGACAGCAGTCATGGAAAATGTTACTCTGAGGATGGAAACTAATGTAAAGTCACTCTACTGTAACCTCACTCTCAGGATAGCTTAATGTTATCTCCCTTTGCCTTCTGCTCCTTCTGATGCTGATTATTAGTGATTACCCTTAAAAATAGGGACAAACATGTGGGTTTCTGCTCCACACAGGCTGTGGTAGAATGAGCTGACACAGTAGAGGCCTGATTCTGATCAGGCCTGCCTTTCCCTGGATCCACCCATCCACAGCACTGACAGTCGATCTCTGTGCACAATGCATTGCGGCTGAGGACAGAAGATTAATGAGTTCTACTGTATGCAACAGCTGCTTCACTGAGAGTGAACATTCTCCATTAGAAGCTTTGAGTCTGTGAGTGGCACGGGTATTAGCCTGCAAGCCTGGAAGCCAGAGCCAGTGCACATGCCTCAGAGAGTTGCTGTGCAAAACCCCGGGCCTTTTCAGAAGCCCTGAGAACCTCACAGAGCCATAAACAGCATGGGAAATGTGGCCAAACTGCTTTCCCAAGGATAATGAACAAGTAGCAAAATTTCTCAGGCCTCGATCTTTGATTTGTGTCATATTGCACATTCTTATAGCTGGTAGATGACAACACTTACTATGTCCAGCAAGGTTTAGAAAATAATGACATGTAACCACCCACCTCAGGAACAAATTAGGGAAAAAAAGCAAGTTGATAAACGTTTGAAAAAGGTTACCTGTTTCCTAATCTTTAGTTGCAAGGTCTCTGTCTCCAGGCAGTGATTAAGCTGTGCACAGTATGCACTATCAGTTTGTCTGTAAGAGCAGAGGCCTGGCCTGGTGCCAGTGGCTCATACCTGCAATCCTATTTACTCTGGAGTTTGGGATCTGAAGATCACATTTTTTAAGCCAGCCCAGGCAAGAAAGCCCATGAGACTTTCCAATTAATCACCAAAAAGCCAGAAGTAGAGCTATGGTTTAAGTGGTAGAGTGCTAGCCTTGAGAGGAAAAAGCTAAGTGAAAACACTCAGGTCCCGAGTTCAAGCCCCAGTACAAGGAAAAAAGAAAAGAAAAGAAACAAAAAGAACAGAGGCCGAAAGCTAGTTGCAGTCCTTGCAGAGCTCCATGCTCACTGCTTTGTAGGCATCTGAGGCATTCCTAAGACTGTTTATACGCTCCATTGTTAGTACTTCCAGAACCAGCAAGTCTTCTGGGCATCAAAATAATTAATTTAGAGGCAACCTACGCTCTTATTTGGGGATGTGCCATAATTTATACTCCTTACTATAATAGCCATATGTCAATGTGGAGAACCTAACCAAGTTCCTAATGAGCTCTCTATACATCTTTAAGGTATCACCTATTGCTGCTCACTAAAGTGTCTGACTAGGTCTAGTCTCAAGCCTGAGTGGAAGTAGAGACCTTTGTCCCTGGTCCACAGCTCAGCTGTGGTGTGAAGGCCTTGGGGTCTGCTCTAAAAGTCAGCCTCCTTTCAGCTAATGAGCCTTTTGTTTTCTGTTCTTCCTGGACTTTGGTTCTCTCTAGTACTCACAATATGGCTTTCAGTCTATCTAGGCCAAGGGGAAAAAACTTCCACAAATAGCAACTATTACAGAAGAAGCTAGTAGGTCAAAACTATGACCCATCTTGGCTGTGTGTGTCTGTGTGTCTGGGTCTGTGTGTGTGGACCAGTAGTTGAACTCAGGGCCTCTAGCTCTCTCTGTTGGCTTTTTTGCCCAATGCTGGTGCTCTATCACTCAAGCCACAACTCTGCTTTTGGCTTTTTGCTGGTGAATTGGTGATATGAGCCTCATGGACTTTTCTGCCTGGGCTAACTTCAGACTTTGATCCTAAGATCTCAGTGTTCTTAGTAACTGGGGTTACAGGTAGGAACCACTAGTATCCCAGCTTATTATTTTTTTTTTTAATGAGTAAACTTCCTTTGTAACTGGGTGTGGTAGTGCAGTACAGTGCCAGTGGAGACAGGAGGATCGAAGTTCTAGGCCAGCATGGGCTCCCTTCTATTGTGAAAGCAAGCAAATAAGCAAGCTCCCTTCTTGAGCCTTTGTAGCTTTTATACTTTAGTTGTGTGTGTTACACTGTGGTTTATTCATGAGACTGTAGCTTTACAACCTCACTTAAGAGACTCACTATTCTCAAACTACAAGAAACCAGACCAGAGCTTGAGATCATGAAACATTCATCTTGGCTGTGATTTGTCTCTCTTGTTTCCATTACTGTGAAAACAGTACACACGTCAGTAAAAATTCATATGCATCCAAGGGTACCTAAGGACTGTCTGTCCACTCTCCTTTCCAGAGCTCATCAGTCAACATTTTACACCTTCCTTTCACAGATGATAACAAAGATCTAAACTGTGCAGTGATTTCTTTCATCCATTTTCATCAGATCTGTCCTGATTACTTAAGCCTGGGAGCTGATAACTATTTATAATTGTTATCAGATATTAAATATATTTAGCATATGCTAAAAACGTTTGACATTAGTGTTTCATACACCTGTATTTATTAT